GTAATCTACAATATCTATAAAAATTAGGAATTTTAGAAATATTTTCCTAGAATTTTATGGACATAAAGGACTTCAAAGAGGACACAATCCCTTCTTTATAATCAGAGATTTTTGTTTGTTTGTTTTTTGTTTTTATTCCAAACAGGGTTTTTTTCTTGTAGCTCTGGCTTTCCGGGAACTTAGAGATTCTCCTGCCTCTGCTTCCTGAGTGCTGGAATTGCAGGCATGTGCCACCATGGCCTGGCCAGAGGAGGTTTTCTAAAGGAAGTAATGGTCCAGGCCGTGTCCAGTCTCTTGATATTGTCATCTGCAAAATTCATGTTCGAGAAGTATGTGATTAAGTTACAAAAATTGTCCCTCACTACAAAAAAAAGAACTCTCAATGCTTTACGTATGCTTTTGATTTTTGTGTTGGGCCTTGTTCATCGTTGTCCTAGGGCTCATGTAACTGCTGGCTGCAGGTTAAACACACCTGGAACTTAAACATTGCTCTAATGTAACATTAATACATGGAGTGGGAATTTGTGAACGTTAAATGTTTCTAGATCTTTCAGAAAGGTCTTTTACATGTGAAGCTCTAATACACCAACACAGCCCCTTTTGGCAGCCGGTGCTCTGAGATCACTGTGTACATTTTGGAAGGTGATCTCTTGGTGAACTTAGGAATGAATTTCTTTCCAAGATACCTGAACTTAATAGAGCATCCATGGCAAAGTAGAAAAACTAAGTAAGAAATGGGAAGCTCAGCAAGTGAAAGATGAGTTACTGCTAGGTCTGTTACTATTCTTTCCTGACCTCCTAAGACACAGTCTCGAATGGAATGTTCCTGCTGCTAGAAATCATGACAGCTTGGCCCCTCTCCCTTTATTCTGAGTCTTAGACTTTGTGCAGGTCAACTGTGAGGGAGGGGACATAAAACCTTGTGGTGAACACAGACCGTGGTATTGACTATAGTTTGGTGTGGAATGCGGGATGCAGTCCCTGTCTTGTGGTAAGACGAGTGAGCAGCTATTTTACAGAACAAGCCTGGTACCCTTTACTCTACACAAGGATCTCCCAGTGTCAAACACAATAAAGCTTATTTTCCTAATGTTAGCGATCTGGAAGGGAGAATTTTGACAATTGCATATATGTATATATTGTGTTTTCACCTTTTGTTGCCCTTGCTCATCTCCTCCTCCCCAGCCAATCCCATTCCTGCTTTCATATTAGTTTTTTAGTGATTCACTGAAATTATTTAGCATTGCTGGCAGGAGCATGGGCAACTTAGCGGTGGCTACACCACTGAAGAAAATGGCTTCTCTTTCTACAGCAACCAGGATGTGCCGATAGCTTTTCAGGGAAGACAGACCTCTCATGAGACCTTCCCTACCTATAAGGGAATGCTGGTGGGGCCCCTTCCTGTCCAGGTAGCTACAGTTGCTGTGAGTAGCCAGGCCAGGAAGGCAACAGCTCCCAGCCCTCCTCCCCAACCTGGGGGAGAGTTATGTAATTGGCAATATTTCTATGCCCTGGGCAACTTAACTGCCATTCAGTGCTGACTATGCTACATTCAGTGATCTTGACACGCCCTTGTCCTCTGGATTAAACCGCAACAGGTGTCATCTGAGACAGCGCAGCTGTGACACTGGGATCATGTTTTGTCTTTTCTGCCTCCACTCCTCATTAACTCACCAAATCATGAAATGCTCAGATCGGGGTCCATTTCTAGATTGCCTCAGCCAAAGACAGAAGACATCTCAATATGATTTTCTTTTTTTAAAATTTTTTATATATTTTTTATTTTCTCCATTCAAAAATTTACACTTCCTCCCCTCCTCCCATTCCCCTCCTGCTCCCTCCCTCCCCCTCCCTCCTTAAGAGAGGGTAGGGAACCCTGCCCTGTGGGAAGTCCAAGGCCCTCCCTGCTACATCCAGGACTAGGAAGCTTTGCATCCATATAGACTAGGGTCCCAAAAAGCCAGTGCATACAGTAGAAACAAGTCCAGTGTCTTTATCAATGGCTTCTCAGTCAACCCCCATTGTCAGCCACATTCAAAGAGTTCGGTTCCTTAGCTTTGATGACACAGCCTAGAGCCATCTAAGAAGGAAATCTCAGTTGAGGAGTCGCTCACCTCATATTGGCCTGTGGACGTATCTACGAGGGACCTTTACTGTAATTGATGTGGTGAGCCCAGCCCACCGTAGGCTGCACCAACCCGGGGTGGTGGTTCTGGGATAGACAGGAAAAGAGCTAAGCCTGAGCAGGAAACAAGCCAGGGAGCGAGCTAGCAAGCATCATTCCTCTGGATGCTGCTTTCAGCGCCCTCCTTGAGTTCCTGCCCGACCTCCCTCGGTGACGGGCTGTGACCCGGAAGGCTAAGTCGCATAAACCCCCCTGTGACCCGGAAGAATAAGTCGCATAAACCCCCTGTGACCCGGAAGGATAAGTCACATAAACCCTCCTCCCCCCAGTGGCTTCTGGGTGTTGTGTCACAGCTGCATCACAAGACTAGGACACTCATCCAGTTATCAATATTAATTCCTTTCACCATAAAAATGTCCTGGTTAAATTTTGCCAACGAAATTATATATTGTGTATATACACTCTAAGTAACCTGCTTAAAGTGGTAGATGATTTAGTCTTTAGAGTCCCACATGGGTGTGCCTTTGTTGGACACGGTCATGTTGATTTTGGTATTGTCTTTCTGATTTGCAGTTGGGAATCAGTGGATAAATTACATATCGTTTTGTGGCCTGAGAACACACGCGGAGCTGGAAGGGAACCTCGTCACCGAGCTCATCTATGTCCACAGCAAGCTGCTAATTGCTGATGATAACACGGTTATTATTGGTAAGTGTGTGCACTGTGCCCGTGCTTCTGGTCAATTGTCCTTGCTTTCCCATGCTTCCTTGGCTGTTGAGATTCGTCACGTAACACCCAAACTGTTTCAGAGACAGCCGTTTTCTTTTGCATCCTTGCTGACCTGATTTTTGTTGCTTTTGCTTTTTAATCTACACAGAACTAGATCTAGAGCAATGGCGGGGACTTTGTGCGTGTCACAGTATTTAAAGCAGGGCTGAGGCCACACAGCCATTCATCTGCCTGATCTCACGGATCCTTTTAAAAATGTTTTCTTTTTGTTTGGTTGTTTGGTTGATTGATGTTGTGCATTCTAGGCATTTCTGTGTGGAAGTCAGAGGCCAGCTTGAATGAGTTTCCACCAAGAGGGTCCTGGGGATCGAACTCCAATCTTTAGGCTTGGCAGCAAGTGCCTTCCCCTGCCGAGCCATGGCACGAGCCCTCATTTTATTAATTCATCATTACTCCCTTATTTTTAGTTGAGCCCAAGTGCCTAGATTTCTGGGATTGGGAGGGGAAGAAATCAGCAAGAAAAGTACATCAAACACGAGATGTGTGTGGTCCGTGTTTATCATCTGACCTTTTCTACAGATCCAGGGCCAGGGAACATCAGGCCAGAAGGATGCTAAAGTCTTACTGCTGGTGCATGTACCAGTATGTTTTCTAATGGTTATGTTTTGAACGCTCTCAGTCACAATGTGGAGCTGTCAGCTTTGCTGATATGGGTGGAGGTAGGGAAAGCATTGTGTTTTAGTGAAATGGCATAGCCTGCTTTAAGATCAAGGTCCTTTTCGAATGATACAAGGTGCACTTCTATACGCTCCCTTCTCTCACTGGTTCATGTACATACTGAATAGGAACTTCTGGGACAGAGGGGTGGACATCAGCCTCCTTCAGTTTTAGAAACACTGAACATCCTGCGTTAACATCATTGGACTGTTTCTCATTTAATCCTGTCACATGAATGAATACTGGAAAGGTGGATGAGACACAGAAAATTAATAACCTGCCCTAGTTAGTGTTTCTATTGCTGTGATGAAACACCATAACCAAAATAAAGTTGTGGAGGAAAGGGTTTATTTGGCTTAAACTTCCACATTGTAATCTATCACTGAAGGAAGCCAGGACAGGAACTCAAACAGGGCAGGAACTTGAAGACAGGAGCTGATGCAGAGGCCATGGAAAAGTGCTTCTTCCTGGCTTTCTCAACATGACTTGTTCAGCCTCCTTTCTTATAGAACAGCACTACCTGCCCAGACCCAGGACCACCACCCATAATGGACTGGGCCTTCCCATCAATCACTAATCAAGAAAATGCACTACGACCAGATCTTATGGGGTCGTTTTCTCAGTTGAGGTCCCTCCTTTCAGATGACTCTAGTTTGTGTCGTGATGACATAAAACTAGCCAGCATATAATCGCTCTGAAAACTGAGTGGTCCAGGTGTGTGTCTGTGTGTGTGTGTGTGTGTGTGTGTGTGTGAACTTCATCAGTAGAGATGGCACATGGAACTGCTGGGAACTCTGCTCATCTGTTTTAAACAAAACGTTGCTCCTCCGCTGTATTAAGATAATTCCCTAGTCTTCAAGGACTAAATGCCATGAGTAGTTTGACACCTTTTTGACAGTTATATGCCCTTTTCATCTCTATCCTCATTGAGAAAAAAAAAGTCTCATAACTAGCTGTAATGAGATGGCTTATCTGGAATACCTTTTGGGAAAAGGGTAATTCTGAAGCAAGAAAATATACACAGATCAGTGTACACATATGTGTATAGATTAATACATGTATGAATATACATGTAAAATAGCTTGAATATCTGTACACACACACACACACACACACACATAGGGGTAAAGACTAGAGAAATGGATTCTTTTAATATTTCTGCAGAACAGTTTTTTAAGAAAGCATCCTATCCCAACATCTTTTACTCAGTATCAATGGTTCTCAACCTGTGGATCGCAATCCCCAGGTTTGAACAACCCTCTTACTGGTGTCATTTAAGACCATCAGAAAACATAGATATTTACATTATGATTCATAACATAAAAATTAAAATTGTGAAGTAGCAACAAAAAAAATATACGGTTGAGGGGAGGGGTCACAACAGCATGAGGTATTAAAGGGTCACAGTACTAGGAAGACTGGGAACCACAGCAACTGATCTCAACTTGTGGGTCGCAACCCCCAGAGATGAACAACCGTTTCACTGGTGTCACGGAGACAATCAGAAAACACAAATATTTATATTATCATTCATAACAGTCGCAAAATTACAATTGTGAAGTAGCAACGAAAATAATTTCATGGTCGAGGGGAGGAGTCATCACAGCATGGGGTCACAGCACTAGGAAGCTTGAGAACCACTGCTCTATAGAGATTTATTACACTAAACAAAACGTGACTCCAAATAGATCAAAGACCTCAACATAAAACCAGATAAATGGATGGAGCTAGAAAAAAAATCATCCTGAGTGAGGTAGCCCAGATCTGAAAAGAAACAATGTGTATTCACTGATATGTGAATGTTAGCTGTTAGGTCTTCAACAAGCAGGCTACAATCCAGACAGTCACGGAAGTCAGGTGCAGAGTAAGGGGCCAGAAGGCAGGGATGGATCTCCCTAGGAAAGGAAAGATCATAAAATAAATAGATCGTTATGGATGGACAAGGTGAGAGACTAGAGTGAGGAGCAAATGAGGAGGAGGGAAGAAAGAGATGGAAGGAATACAGGGAAAGACACCTAAAACTAGGGCCATTGAGGGATAGCGTATGGAAACCTTATACAGTAGAAAGTTCCCAAAATATGTTCATATACGAAGGTGATCTAATTGAAAATGGCAAATAGTTGGAAAAATGGAAGTCCAACCGGGCATCTCTCACCATCAAATGAAGTTTGGGGAATAAGTTACTTCTAATTTTTTTTTCCCATGAGAGCCCCCAGACAACCCAGGCTATTGTCAAGGCTGTTGATTGGTCCTTACAAACTGATAATAACCCCCTCTTGCTGAACATAATACCTATACAACTTCTTGAACATGGAGCCTTCAGTCCTATGGTACTGGAAGGTACTCTGCATGCTGCCAGAGGAGAAGGGCAAGCACCAGCCCAGCTACAAACCCTTTGATCTCCAAATGATGACCTGCCTGCAAGATTTGCTAGTGAAATAGTGACATGACATGAAGCATGTGGGAATAACCAACTAATATTTGATTGGATTTCAGGCCCACTCCATGAGATAGAACCATATCCAAGGCTACTTGAGGAGGCAAGAACCTAAGACTAGATAGGAGCTAGGGCAAAACCACATACTTGCTGTGGAACAATCCTCTTATACACTGTAAAGATTTGTCACTCGAATTGGTTTAATAAGACACTGATTGACCAGTTGCCAGACAGGAAGTTTAGGCAGGGCAACCAAACTAAGAATGATGGGAAGGAGAAGGGCAGAGTCAGGAGTTGCCAGCCAGATCCAGGTGGAGCAGGAGATGAGCATGTCATGCTAATAACAGTACTGCCACATGGCAGAGCATAAATAAGGCATATGGGTCAGCTTAAAATGTAAGCGCTAGTTAGTAATAAGCCTGAGCTACTGGTTGAGCATTTATAAGTAATATTAAGTCTCTGAGTCAGTTATTTGGGAAGTGACCAGCGGGTATTTGGGAACAGGTGGTCAGGAGAGAAACATCTGACCATAAATACAACTGTTCTGATAAACAAACATGGAAATAAAATGATGCCTAGTGATATTTTGCTATAAACTCCCTCCTGCAGCTAAACAATGTGCAGACAATGAGAGACACTGAAACACTCAGTCCTAAATGGGATGTCTCCATCAGGCCCCTACCTCTAGGCTCAGGGACCTCTGCTGAAGAGGAGGTGGAAAGATAGTTAAGGGTTAGTGGGGACGGAGGACACAAGGACACAAAGATTTCCAGACTCCACAGGACTGATGCATATGAGTGCACAGAGACACTGGCGGCATGCACAGGTCTGCACAGGTCTGAGCCAGCTGGAGTCCCAGCAGTGAGACAGAAAGTGAACACAAACCCACAGCCCTAGCCCAGAGCAATTAGTTTTCTCCAGCAGAGTCTCACTGGGCACCTAGTACGTGACCAACACATCGTTGGCATTTTTGGAGGCACTTTGTCTCATGCTTTGTCAGGTTTTTTTTTCTCCATGTGTAAATGTGTATCTCTGCGTCTGTACATGTTTCTTGAGCTTTTTCTTTGGCTTTTGTTCTAGTTTGTTTAGTTTTGTTTTATCTTATTTTATTCTTAGTTTTTAAATGTCTGTTTGTTTTCAAATGAGAGGTAGGGTATGGATTTTGATGGGAGGAGTTGGGTGAAGGGAAACCATAATTAGAATATATGTATGAAAGAGGTCTATTTTCAGTAAAAGAAAAAAATAAAAAAATTATAAATATGCACAGACGCCTGAAACATTTAATATAAAACAAGAGAAAAGAATAGCCATAATTCTTTCGTGAAACTCTATAATCTGTACCTGCTGACGTGCAGTGTGGTTTTATTTTAGTCATGTGACGTATTTATCTAAACTATGTAAGCTAATATCTTTTGTTTTCTCAGATCATAGCATACTTTTATTACATAATTTCCAGTTCTATATTTATACATGTTTGTTTGCATATCTCACAGGGCTGTTCCTTTCTTTACAACTGTAACCACTCTCTGATTTGCTATTTTTATTTTCTCCACTATTGCGAAGAACTGCCCTCCTTTTTGTTAAAAGCACATTCACTTCCGATTTGTTGCTTTCATAGTTTGTTTACACTGAGGCCTCGATTGATTCCCCAGTGTAATCCTGGGACTGAGAACACGGACACGTTCAAGGCTGGGCACTTGTCTGGGACCTACCTGTCTCCACCAATGCGGCGGACACAGGCCTGCAGGTGCATTGGTCCCCTCGGGATCAAACACAGTCCTCTCCAGTCAGAGGTGCTTACCCTTAGGCCCACGGCTCCTTAGAGGCACAGGTGGGTTGTGGCTCTTCTTTAGGATGAGGGATTTGAAAGTTTTCAGTCTGCTCACCAACCACCTCTTTAAGTCCCTTCGGAGGTTCTTCAGTCGTAGGCAGGACAGAGCCTGCGCTCCTGCAGTGTCCGTCAGCTGCTCCCTGCACGGCCACCTGCTCCCTCAGAATTTCCTTCACACCATCCCTCAGGCGCGCTGGGGAGGTTTGGGGAGAGGTCCTGTTGTCCTCACCTCGGTGATGGATTCAGTGGTGGTTTATCATTGTTTTGATGTTTGTTTTCTTATACCCTTTTGTATTTTGTGCTGCAGCCAGTGCGACTGGCGGGGGGCGCTGGGATTGAGACATGGGGGCTCCTGTTCAGGTGGAAGAACAGCAGCCTTTATTTTGCCCAGCAACCTTTTATACCTCTACTCCTTCTGTGGAGACCCACCAGCCAGAAAGAACACAAACATCCTTGTCAATTACAGACCGCAAGGAAGTCTCTCTGTCAGTCAGGGGGAATGAGGGCAGCTGGATCACAACATTTTGCTGCAGTTTGAAAATGCCCGGTTTCTTATAACAGACACAGAAATGGTTTTTAAGTGATCTAGGCAATGACTTAATAAAAAACAAGTCAGTTCCATATTAGTTAGAACACAGACACAGCGCATATTCGCTATTAGTGGTGCAAACTCTGAAGGGTCAGAAGTCTCCTCACTGTGTACTGTGTTCTTCAGAAGGTCCCCAGAACCTGTGTCCATTCCATGTACCCCAGATTCCTCCTTTCTCTTTCTCTTATTTATGTAGAAATGAGGAATGCCCCAATCCTGTGACTCCTTTTCTGAATCTGATTTTCAGGACACAGGAATGTTTAACATCAAGACTGGAGATAACATTTACCCTTATCAGAATTTCCTTGTCAGTGTTAAGTTCGTCTAAGATCTGTGTGTGAAGTGTGCATGCAGGATCACATGTGTGTGCATGTGTCTTGACTGTGTGTCTGTCACTTTCCACCTCGTATGTTGAGGTGGGATCCTTTGCTTCCTTGGAGCCTAGCTTGTTGTTGAATATTATTTTAAAGTCTGTTACATTTGTTTACGTCCTAGAACATTTGTTTAACAATGTAAAGATGTGTTACTTTGCCTGTCTAAAACACCTGATGGTCTAATAAACAACTGAATGGCCGATAGCGAGGCAGGAGAAAGGATAGGCAGGATTGGCAGGCGGAGAGAATAAATAGAAGAAATGAAGGAAAAAAAAAAGATGGAGAGGAGGGCATCAGGGCTCCCCAGCCACACAACCAACCACAGAGTAAGGGTGAAAGTAAGATGAAAAGAAGAAAAGGAAAAAGCCCAAAGCCAGAAGGTAGATGGGTTAACCTAAGAAAAGTTGGCAAGAAACAGGCCAAGCTAGGACCAGGTGTTTTTAAGAAAGAATAAGTATCCACGCGCGATTTATTTGGGAGCTGGGTTGCATGCTCCCCAAAAGAACTAAGAGTAAGAGCAAAGAATAAAGCAGACATTTTGGCTCCCAGCATGGGGCCAGAGTAGAAGAAAACCCAACACTAGCTAGTTGGCCTGCTCCAGAAATCACCGTCTCCACCTGCCTTACACTGGATCGCAGGTGAACCGCCACACCTGCCCAGTGCTTACATGGGTTCTGGGGACATGAACTGAGTCATTTTATCTCAGCCTGTGTCCCAAGCCACACAGCTTCAGCAAGGCAATAATGGAAAGCAGAAAAATAAAGGAGATTCTTCAATGTGGCCATCTTGGGAAAAGAGGGTAAAGAGACCCAGTGAAGCCCCCCATGTTTGTGTTCAGGGTTCTTCACTAAGACTGTGAGGTTTGAATGGAGAGCTAAAATTATGACCATCTGAGCAGTGCCCTCCAAGGTGGCAGTGCCATCCTGCCCCGCACTAACCCATGCTGTGGGCTTCACTCTCATGCTGTGAGGTCCTCTGCTAAGTTGTTACAACTGTGAAACCTCTTGCCAGGAGACAAGTTCCTGTCTGCCCCATCCTTTTTTTTTTTTTTTTCTCCCAGCATGGGATTTCTGGGGGGAAATTCCCATTTCTTTGGCACCCATTGTTTCTCCAGTCTAGTAGTCAGGGTGAGAGACACAAAAGTTTGCATTCCTGCCAGGCCCGTTTCCCTGGCTTGTAACAGACAGCTCCTACTCCCATCTCTAACATTTCAGCCCACAATGCCAGGAGCGTACTCCCACCCTCGGGAATCCAGGGCTGCTGCAATGGGATAGATGGATTCGGGGCTAACGGATAAATATGTGGGGTTTCCAGTCTGGCTCCCACCCACAGGGTTCTGATCGTGGCTGCAGACCCAGTCCCTGAGTGGTCTCTGCTTAGGGCAGGAAGAGAGTGAAGGCCCAAAGTAGCACCAGGGGAGTTCCCTTCATGCACCTAGAAGGGAATGCTTGTGTTAGAGAGAGGGATACAAATGCTGCATTCCAGCAAATTCTCCCCACCTGCAGCTCTGGTCTCACCAACACGACTGCCTAAATGAGATCTGAGCAAGTGCAACAACTAACGCGGAATGGGGAGGGTTCCACACCAGAACAAAGAGCTGTGGGCTGCTAAGGAATGCGGAGGGTGGGAGAAAGAGTCTCAAGGGATGAATCCCCAATTGATTATCCAGGACAGCCCCGGGATTGTATACATTCAAGTCGCACTAAATAAACTATAGACAGATTGTATTTATGCATTTATACATATAACGATATCATTATTGTATTTATGCATTTATACATATAATAATATCATTATTGTTACATTTATGTGCATTTATAACAATTAAAAAGAGGACCTAAATTTAAGAAAAGACAATGGGAGGCATGGAAGGGCTGGAAGAAGAAAAGACAAGAGGGGAAATCATGTGATTATATTTTAATTGAAAAAAGCTGACAAACCTCATGGTGTAATGCTAAAGCTAATTAGTGCAAATGCATGCTTTTCCATGACCCACATTAATCTATTGTGAGGAATCAGGCAGTAAGAAAGAGTGCATTGTTCACATCTGAAATAAAAGACTCATCCTTGCCAAGGGGAAGTCAACATCCTTGGGGCATTGAGGTTTTATCTCTAGACCAGGCTGGCTTCGAACTCACAGAGGTCTGTCTGCCTCTGCCTCCCTAGTGCTGCGATTAAAAGCCTGCGGCACTACTGCCCCAACTGAGGTTTCAAAATAGAGGGAAGGTGATACCAAGGCTACAGCCTGTCAGGCAAGCGGAAGTGGAGAGCTGCAGCCATTGAGGGCAGACCTTAACTCAGATTAAGCAGTGACTGGGAACGCACGCCTGGCATCTAACATTCCTTGTACAACTAGACTAGAAAGACTGTTCTGGTTTTTGTTTTCTTAAAACAAGAACAAAAACCCAACTTCTGTACTGAGCCAGTTGATCTGCCGGTTTTCTTTGAACTCTCCTTCATGAGTCAGTTAGCCAGCTTCCTTTGAGATACAGGTAGAAACTGGAAGTATGTGAAACAATAAGATACATTGTTTCATAAACAAGAAAGCTCCAGTGTTGACTGAGTTTAGCGTCTCCGGATTTTGTTGTAACAGGCTTTCTTGGACTGCCAGCCCCCAAATTATAACATAACATGGAGATTTAATATTAGTTATGAATGTTCGGCCTTATCTTAAGCTTGTCCCACTACCTCTTATATCTTAATTTAACCTGTTTCTCTTCATCTTTGTTTGGCCTCTGGGCCTTTTACCTTTCTTTCCTTCTGTATGCCCTACTCTGTGTCTGGCTGCCTGGCGGCTGCCTGCCTAGCTCTGCACATCTCCCCCGCTTTCTCCCTCATTCTTTTCTTTCCTCTCTCATCTCTCCTCTCTTATTCTGTCTGCCACCTCCACCCATCCCTAGCTATTGACCATTCAGCTTTTTGTTAGACCAATCAGGTGCCTTAGTCAGGCAAAGTAAAGCAGCAACACATCTTTACATAGTTAAACAAATGTAGCATAAACAAATGTAACACATCTTTTCCTAGTTAAAGTTTTTTACTTTTGTGGGTTTTTTTTTGTTTTTGTTTTTGTTTTTTTCCTGAGACAGGGTTTCTCTGCAGCTTTGGAGCCTCTCCGGGAACTAGCTCTTGTAGACCAGGTTGGCCTTAAACTCACAGAGATCTGCCTGCCTCTGCCTCCCTAGTGCTGAGAGTAAAGGCGTGTGCCACCACCGCTCAGCTCCCAGTTAAAGTTTATTCCACAATATTTTGTAGGGATTTTTTTAAATAATTATTTTCATTTATATGTCCCTGGAGGCCAGAAGAAGGTATCAGATCCTCTGAATCTAGAGTTACAGAGTGTTCTGAGCCACTTGACATGGGTGCTGGGGATGAACTCGGGTCCTCAGCACGAGCAGGAATCACCTGTAACTGCTGAGCCGACTCCAGTCTGTGAGCATTCTTGTTGGCTCAGCCCTCATGTTTGAAATCTGATGTCAATGTCCAAAGGATGGAAGAGATGGTATAAAATTCTGCTTTCTCAGAAGCCCCTTGGGAGCTTTCCTTCATGATGTCTGGAACCATGCTAAGGCCATCTCCTAAGCTAATCACTGATAAAGATGGTGACATTATGATTCTAGGCGGCTTTAGAATGATCAAAGGTCTTGCTTGGGCTAATCTTAAGGTGGCCCCTACCTCCCTAAACTACATCTTCCCTAGATATCTTTGACAGAATTGGGGTGTTGAGAGTCAGGAAGCATGGGGAAGGGTTGGCCATTGGCAGTAGCTGTTAGGAGAAGTTGTCCATTTCTTTTGTTTCTCCGTTTAGGTTCTGCCAACATCAATGACCGGAGTATGCTGGGGAAGCGAGACAGCGAGATGGCCATCATAGTGGAGGACACAGAGACGGTCCCCTCACTTATGGATGGGAAAGAATACCAAGCTGGCTGCTTCGCCCGGGAACTTCGGCTGCAGTGCTTCAGGTGACGCCCACAGAGCGACGCCTCTGCTATTAGTCCCACGGCCACAGAGCCACGGCCACTCCTGCCATGCCAGATTCTTTTTAATCTAGAACAATGTCTCTCAGAGTAGAGGGTATAAACAGTAGTACAGAAATGATTCTAAATATACACACATGTTTTAATACCTGGTCATCTTTATGTGTAATAGCACAAACTACCATTGAAAATGTAATCAATTTAAGGTCAGGCCAGATCAAACCATTTAGGTAGGATTTGTTTAACTTTTTAAAAGTAACTCCACATTTTTTTTTTTTTTGAGACAGGGTTTCTCTGTGAAACAGTTCTGCCTGTCCTGGAACTCACTCTGTAGACCAGGCTGACCTTGAACTCACAGAGATCACCTGCCTCTGCCTCCCGAGTGCGAGTGCTAGGATTAAAGGCGTGGGCCAACCCCTCAGGCTTGCTCAGTGGGTTTTAGGAATCCAGTGCAGGTCCACAGGCTTGCATGACAAGTCCTTTTCTGATGAACCATCTCTCCAGCCTGCGCATATGTATCTACTCAAGCCTCGGCCCTTTCTTTGTGAGGAGACCATTCAAAATTCTTTCTCCTATCTTCAGGGAACTATATAGTGTACCACCATCCATAGTGTCCCATGAATCACACCAGAACTTGTTACTCATATCCACAACGACTTGGTTCCCATTGACCGACCAGGTTTCCTGCCCCTTCCTTGTTGCCCCAGCACTGGTAACCATCATTCTACTCTCAAACATCTATGAGGCCTTGCCCACGTTCCATCTACAAGGTCAAACTACCTATGTCTTTCAACGCCTGGCTTATTCCTTGATGGTCGCTAGCTCCATTCATGTTGCCATAAATGATAGGATTTTTTACATGTGATTGAATAGCATTAACTTGTATGAATGAGCCACATTTCCTTTATTCCCCCATCAATTGATGGACACTGAGTTTGTTTCTGCGTAACAACATGGGGGTGCAGCTGTCCCTGACAGACTGAAATAATCTCTCTGGAGATAACAGGGCTTTCCATTTAATCATCTGATGAACCCCAGGATGGGTTCTCATCCCCAGCAATATAGTCAGGGTTTCCTCTTCACAGCTCACAGTGTGCTAATGATGTTAACATTTGGTGTCTAGCGTTCAACTTCTCCCCCACACGTGGATTAATTTATATTGCATCTATTTTTTTTAAAAAAAAACCAAAATTTAAATCTTGCAGGTTCTGAATATTCTTAACTTTTAAAGATTTATTTGTGTGTACATGCATATGTACGTGTACATTAATGTGAAAGTCAGAGCATAACTTGTATGAGTTTCACGTTGTGGGTTCTGAAGATCAAATTCAGGTCTTCAGATTTGGAGGCAGTCAACTTTGCCAGCTGAGTCATTAGGCCAGCCCCAGAATATTCTCTCTTTTCTTTTCTTTTCTTTTCTTTTTTTTCTTTTCTTTTCTTTCTTCCCTTTATCTTTCTTTCTTCTTCTTCCTTTTTGTTTGTTTTTTGATTTTTTTTTTTTGAGACAAGGTTTCTCTGTGTAACAGCCCTGGCTGTCCTGGAACTCACTCTGTAGACCAGGCTGGCCTTGAACTCACAGAGATCCGCCTGCCTCTGCCTCCCAAGTGCTGGGATTCATGCCTGGCCCCTGAGTCGTCTTTATTATTTAATGCTGCAATGCATTTCCATGTCAGTGTTATTCTGTAACATTTTAATGATTGCATCATACTTCATGTGTGTGTGCCATAATTCCTTAAAAACATGCTTCTGTGTTTGACACAGCTTTCTTGCTGATGTAAAAATGGTAGGTATTTTTGTTTGTTTGCTTGTTTCTTATGTGAGCAAGAATAGTGCCAATTCTAAGAGAAAGGAAGCTGCATTTGCCCCCATATTTCTTCTTAGGTTGCTAACAATTTAACGGGCTCGTTCCTTCTATTTTGTCAGTGTCTCTTATAGTAGTTAATCTTTGCCAATTTTTAATTTCAAGTGGAATTTCATTATTTTGTGATTTTAAAGATTTTTTTAAAATGTGTTTATTAGTCAAGAATACTTGCTCTTTTGGCCAGTTTGCCTGGCCTTTTCATGCTCTTTGCCCATTTTTCTAGAATGTTTAACTTTCTTTTAATGACTTCTTATTTTGTTTAAGATGATTGAGCAATTTTTCTTCTATTAAGAGTGAAATTATTCAGGTATTATTAACAAAATTTATTATTTTTTCTTTTACCTTTTTGCTGAATATATATACATATATATGTGTATATATATACATATATATATGTATATATATACACACACACATATACATATATCTCCAGTCTAAGATCAACAGTTACTTTTGGAATTTAGTTTTTGTTTTTTCCTAGTTTTTTTTTTTGTGTTCTACATTTTGTGTTTAACGTTTGTAGCTTCTTTTTATTTATTTACTTATTTTTTACAGGGACTTACCTTGAACTCAGAGCCTTCTTGTCTCAGCCACTTTGCTGTGGGATTTCAAGTGTGCACCGCCATGCCTCACAGAGTAGCCTGTTTTAGTGTAGGAAATGAGACAGCATCTCTTGATTTTCTTTCCCTCAACAGGTCAAAAGGTGTGGTGAGGTGAGGTCGTAGTTTTACCTGCTTGTTTTTAAACATTTGCTGTTGTGCCACCATACCTTGCTAAAACAGAACCGAAAGACTCTTTTTCCTTTTCTTTCTTTTTTTTTCTTGAACTCACTTTGTAGCTAGGGTGACCTTGGACTTTGGTCCCCTGCCTCCACCCTCCAAGCGCTGGTGTGACAGGTGTGCACCCACATCCAGGAGTTTATCTGATGCTCAGCGCTTCTTTATGACGCTGCCATTGCCGTCCGTGTAACTCTCCTCCCATTTCTGTCGCATCACATTGAGAGTCTGTTTTCTTACACACCAGTGTGACATCATTTTCATTTTTGTGGCCTCAGTTTTACTGTTACATTATGGTCACATGACTTCCTCAGTGTAGCATGCTTTTAGAACACATTCGGTCATTCTAAATATTCATTCTTTCACATGAACTTTAGAACTATTTACTCAGATTCTGTCATGTCCATACTTTTCTTTTTAATTGGCAGTGTAGCAGGTGGCATTTAACAACTGACATCTTTGTCGTACTGAGCCATCTTACTGAAGAAGAAGGCACGTGCCTTAATTTAGAAGGTGTTTTATTCTCTGCCTCTCTCTCTCTCTCTCTTTCTCAGATGAGTGTGCATGTTTATGGGTGTGCAGGTGCCCATGTATGTGTAGGGCTTGTGAGTATACATGCATGTGGAGGTCAGAAGACAACTTCGTGTTCTTCCTTCGATGTTGTACATCTTTCTTTTTGAAGCAGGGTCTCATTGGCCAGAAATTCACCAGTTAGGCCAGACTGGCTCCAGCAAGCCATGTCTCACTAGCCTCACCAATTACACCAGGCTCTCTGACTGACCAGCAGGACCTTGGGATCTTCATCTCTCCAACACCAGGGTTCCCAGCACATACTACTGTGTGTTTGGGGGACTGAACTCAGGTCCTTATGCTTGCAAGGGCAGCCCTGTACCAGCTGAGCCGTCTCCCCATGCCAGTTCTTTACTGAAGTTTTAGGATTTTCATAACAGAGGATGTATCTCTAGTAAAACTTCATTTTCCTCTTTATGCTTACCCCCAACCTTTCATGGGAAGTTAATTCCCAGGTATGTTATTTTTCCTGGAATTTTTCACACTGTCTTAAAGACAGTTGTTTTTGAAAGATGGTTTTAACTTTATCCCATTGGCAGATACAGATAATCTGCTACAAAGCACCACAAAAAATGACAATTTTCCCTCCCTCCTTTGGAAGTATCCCTGGAGATAAACATTGTAGCCTAGAGCACAGCCATTTTCCCACTTTAGCTTGCAGCTTCAATCCATCTTCCATCTGGGCTGCTTTTGAACAGAAATTCAGAGACACATTTCAACGTGAAATCAATTCTAAACAGAGACAGTATCAACCACCAGGGTTCTGTAGTGATTGTCACAACTATGAGCCAAACAGCCCATTAAACCCTAGAGAAGTATCCAAAACGTCACAGATCCAACCATCCCTCACCAGAAGCCATCGGCTGCCAGGTGAGCTCAGAACCACTTAAGATGACAGATGTGCCGAGCGGAAAGAACAGAAACCATTTTCTGTAATGTGTCTGTTTCCCTAATTTTGTGACTAAATACCAAATATGTATGGGCATAAAGTCAAAGTCATTTTCTCAGAAGATCACCCAAACTTTTTCATGTATTTTTGTTGTTCATTTTCATGTAGTTAAATGCGGAGAAGGGAAAGTACCCTAGAACTCAGTGTTGCCTGTTAGAGACTTATTCAAATAGCTTTCTTACAATCCAGTCCTTAACTCTTAAGTTGGTGGATACATTATCTCAACCCTCTTGTTTAAAGAATAAACTCAAGGAAATACCTCTAGTGCTGGGTTTTCAACTTCTTCAATGTGCCTCAAGTTATGGAACTATTCCAACTGGTTTATTGCCGTAGCCTCTCTATTCTTCAGGTTTGTGCAATAAAATTTTGCTTGAATTCTCAGCAGCTAGCCGGGGGTGTGCTGACATTGTTGGGGTCATTTTCTTACAGTCATTCTCATGTAATAAAAAGCAAACTTTACTTAAAGTAGAAATAGAATTTTTGAGGCTATAAAATTGAAGAATTGTAGCATACCCCTGGCATTTGCTTTAGAGAGACTTTATGGAGCAGAAAAGCACAGAATGAGAAGGAAGTCGGCTGCCTTTAATACCTGTGAAACAGACTGAACTCTTGCAGGTTGTTGTCGGAAATGCATGGAGAGTGTTTGGTGCAGCACAGCTTGTCCTTGAATAAGTCCATATAGTCTTTTTTTTTTTTTTAAAGGCATGGTGTCTTTGTAGCCCTGGCTGTCCTAGAACTCTCTCCACCACTGCCTGGTTTCAAATATTCTTTAACCCAGGAATTTTCATTCTGGAATTTCTCTTAGTGATTGCAGGAAATCACCAGATGTTACATATGGTGTCTAAACTGCATCATTATGATTTTTGCTCATACTAATAAGATATTGGAAATGACGCAAACGTCCATCATAAAATAATAGGTTACATAAGCTATATGTGATGGGAAACTCTGTAACCTTTAACGATGACATAAGTCTGCGTTTGCTGCCCACCCAGACAGGATAACACCACAATGGCATCCATATTACTAAACCATGGTCACCAGGCTGGTTGTCTTTCCTGTTGGGGTGACCAAATAGCTGACCAGAAGCAGGCTAAGGAGAGTTTATCTTAGCTCACAGTTCAAGGGACGCAAGGCCACCATGCTGGGAAAAGCAAAGCAGCAGGAACTTGTGGTGTCTGGTCCCATCAGGAAGGAAGGAAGGGGAGGAAGAGGGAGAGAAAGAGGAAAGGAGGGAGAAAGGAAGGAAGGTTGTGGGGAAAGGGAGAGAGAGAGGCAAGGCAGAGACAGAGCGGGGGAGAGGGAGGGAGAGATAGACAGATGACAGACAGACAGATGAGATCAAGGCCTGCTGCAGGGACACATTTCCAGTGACATTTCCTCTCCTAAAGACTTGTGTCTTGAAGACCCCACAATCTTCTGATCCAAAACCATGACCCCACTGGCAATCACATGTTCATACACATGACTCTGTTTGCGACATTCCATCCTTAGATCACAGAAGTCAGTTTTGCCTAAATTTGACAGAATTCCCCTTGCCATATTTTTCCACGTGGTTATCGGATTCTGTGTCATCTGGTTCTTCTCCAGCCCCTCTTCCCTCCAGCTACACTGGGCCATCTTCACGGTTTACACTCACTCCTCTGAGAAACCCTTTACAAACATGGTTTTATGGGCATATAAATGAGGGCAATTCGCAAGTTGGTATTTCCAGCCAAGCCCTTCCACACTCCAGGTCCCTTTAGCAAAATAGCCATTCAGTATCACCACATGTGTTTAAACGATGGATCAACAGGCTCGGCACTGAATTCCAAGTCTCTGCATAGTAACTGGATCTACCCACAGAATCCTCCATCCTGGCAAATGACAATGCCACTATCTGCCAATTGTCCTCAAGGCCAGCGTGGTTTCTAAGTACTACTACTCTACTGTGTGTGTGTGTGTGTGTGTGTGTGTGTGTGTGTGTGTCTGTCTGTCTGTCTGTCTGTCTGTCTATCCAGATCTAGAGATATATACAGAATAGAATGAATCTCCTCATCCAGCTGTTATTTATTTATTTATTTATTTATATGAGGAGTCTCATTCTGTAGCTCAGGCTGGTGGCCTGAAATTCACTGTGTATACCAGGCTGTTCTTGAACTTGCTACCATCCTCCTGCCTCTGTTTAGAAGTTGTATTCCAGTCCATAAGCCAGGGCCTCTCGCTCCTCTCTCTGATGTCATCAGTGAGGTGTCCTCTCTCATTCATCCAACACCAAAACCAGTCTTTATACGGCCCGTGTTCCAGTTGTTCTGTGGTTAGCAGAGACCTCTGCTGCTTGCTGAGTTCACATGAGAAAAGTTTCGTGTAAGCCCCAGTGCTTACTCCCAAATCAGGGTCTCCAGAAGTAGTCGGCTGCTGGAAAGGCTTTCTTATCTACAGACATTTTAAAGAACGATGGTTATTACGCTTTCTTAATATGGCTTCTGAATCTTATCTTTATTCTGCTTGGTGTTTTCTTGCTATTACATATGATCTCTTGATTGTATGTGATCAGTTTAGATGATACCTTCACGTATGACTTCCTATGTCTGGCACTCACAGATATGAGATATCTGTGATATCTCAGATATCACAGATATGAGAGTAACCAAGCCATGCTCTTTGAGAGAATCTGTATTCTCTTAGTGGCAGATGGACCTGTTGAAAATAAAAGTGATATAAGAACAAAATAGTGAAGCCGCAGGGCGATTGGTAATGAAAAGTCCCCAGACTATCTTGATACAAAATATACAGCGTCCTGTCGCAAGAGCCAGGCAAAAAGAGAACTGGGGAGGGAGGGGGGGGAGTATGCTTGCTAGGTTTATAGGCAGGCTTTAGCCTGAGGGCGGCTTGCCCCAAAAACAGAATGTGATTGGCTGAACTCCCCTATCAAAACAGGTGAGGAGGACAGTGGGGAAGTGGCAGACTCCCCAGCTTCGGAAGGACAGGCAGAGCTTGTTCTGAGTCTTTAAACATCCCAGCTACTTTGGACTCAGTGTGGCAGCTTTTGCTTTATCCTGTATTTTATTTTGTCATGTTTGGTTGTTATCTATTAGAAGCTTGTTCTTTTCTAATGAGAGACAGAAGGGGCGTGGATCCAGAGGGGAGGGGAGGGGAGGGGAAGTGGAGAGGGAGCTGGGAGGAGTAGGAGAGGGAGAATTACAATCAGGATACATTGTAGAGAAAAGAGTCTATTGTCAATAAAAGGGGAAAATGAGAACAACAGAAACCGAAAGGGTTGCATCTGGAGCTGGTAACCCAGCCACCCCCATCTCCCCCTTTCAGAACCCACCCTATTTGTGACAACTGCAGTGACCTCTTCTTGCCAGGGCTGACAATTCACTCATTCCCCAAATTTAACTATGTAGACAGAAGTCATGTTTTTCTTAAGAGTTTCTGTATCCAAGAGCTGAGCATCGTGCTTGACCCAAGGAATGGGAAGGAAGATAAAAGGGATGGCCGGGTAGGGTCAAAACAGAGTGGGGAGTGTGGGAGAAGTGTGGGGGCGGGGGAGGGCTGAGGGCTGAGGGAGTGAGGAGTGTGGGAGAAGTGGGGGGACTGAGGGAGTGGGGAGTGTGGGAGAAGAAGGGAGGGGGACTGAGTGAGTGGGGAGTGTAGGAGAAGCGGGGAGGGAGATGGAAGGTCACATCACCTCTTACAGCTGTAGGAGCTACAACAGGCTCCTGTGGTCTGTCCTGCTTTAATTCCTTTGCCTGTAAAATGGGCATGGTTACAGCTGGGCCTTAGTGAGCTAATCCTGGGAGAGGGCTCCTCACATTGCCTTCTGGCCAGTGTTTGGGTGCTAACCTTAATGGTCAAGGGTCTGGCCAGCTTGGTCCACATTACAAGGATTCTTTCAGAACAAAAGGAGGTTTTAATGGGTTTCATGGCTTCTTTGTCCTCCCTTGGGAAGATCTCTGTCTCTGTGGGTGATCTGCCTTGCTGCTGTCGCTGAGAACTTCCTATCTCCGTCACTCAATTCGAAGGCTCTTGTATTTCAGGCTTGTCCTTGGCTATCTTTCTGATCCAAGTGAGGACCTTCAGGATCCTGTAAGTGACAAATTCTTCAAGGAGATTTGGGTTTCGACAGCAGCTCGGAATGCTACTATTTATGACAAGGTGAGGTTTACTTACCCCCCACCCCCCCACCCTTTTTCATTCATTCTCATCACAATTTTACTGAGACAGATAGAATATTATTAGTATAAAATCATCAGTGTGCCTACATGTTGTAAAGCTATCTCTTTGTAGACATTGAAATACAACAATCAAAGGGCTAGGGCTGTACCTTAATGGTTGGGTCCTTGCTAGCATGCCCAAGGCCCTGGGTTATCACTTAGAAGAGGCCTTAGTGACACCCTGTCCACCATAGGATTGACTCTCATCAACAGCATCATGAGCACCTGACTAAGCAGCCTTTGAAGGTGTTTAGTGACAGAGAGAAGATAGATCGATAGGATCCAAAGATGAGCACACTGGTACGCAACCCACCTCAGTTGCTTACCGGTGTGTGGTGGCTTGGTTCTCCAAGCCTTCCTTTCTTCCGTGCTGTTATTAAAGGGTTAAGTGTTGTTTGATGGTAGATAAGTTACCTCAGGAAAAAGTCAAATTTGTTGACCATTTGTGTGAGAAGTTGGGCAAGAATGTGTCCTCCTTCGGGTCTCCTAGAGCCCCTTCTGGACAGACATATCTTCTTAGTGGGACAGAATGTTGCAAACCCATCGTACTGCCTGTTCAGCCCCTGGAATTGGGGAGGAACAGAGAGAAAAGACATTTTGGTCACAATGGGATAAACCTGCACGTGACCCTGTGGAATTATGTCTCTTGGCTACAGGAATGATGCTGAGTCTGTGGGTTCCTGTCCTCATTTTTATGCAACACCTACTGAAATATGCAGGGTAAACCGCTGTGGTATCTGGACCGTATTTCAGTCAGCAAAGTGTTAGATGCTAATGACTGTTAACACTAATCAAACTTGCAATTTACCTTGCAAACAGGAATCTCCAGTAAAACTCAGGGATGGTCATTTTAGCATTTCCTCCCCAGCATGCATTCCTCACTGCCAGCTTGTCTTTATTCTGCGGCTAATGAGCTCTATAAATGAGAGAGCAAGAATGTGGCTGTGGCCTTTTGAAATGGGAAGAAGTCTCACAGTGTCTTTGTAGCATAAAAAAAAACCAGCAACTATATTCAGGTGGTGGTGGCGCATGCCTTTAATCCCAGTACTTGGGAGGCAGAGGCAGGTGGATTTCTTTGAGTTCGAGGCCAGCCTGGTCTACAGAGCTAGTTCCAGGACATCTAGGGCTGTTACACAGAGAAACCCTGTCTCAAGAAACCAAAGCAGAAACGAAAGCAGCAACTATGGTTGGTTGGTTTGCTTGGTTATTTGAAACCAGGACTTACTACATAACCCAGCTGGTCTTAAACTTACGATTCTCCTGCCTCAGCTCCCATGTGCTAGAGATCACAGGCAGGCATGTGCCACTATGCCCAGATGTAAACAGTAACCCTTCAGCCTGTGCTTTGGCATAAAATTGTTTCCTAAAACAAAGCTTTTGCCTGTCGGAATGAGTCTCTTCCATACGGACCGTGTACTTGCTTTTAAATAAGTAACTCTGTTTCTAATTTGTCTTTTAACAGGTGTTTCGCTGCCTTCCAAATGATGAAGTGCACAACTTAATGCAGCTGAGGGACTTCATAAGCAAGCCCATAATGGCAAAAGATGACCCCATTCGTGCCGAGGAAGAACTGAGAAAGATCCGAGGCTTCTTGGTGCAGTTCCCATTTTATTTCTTATCTGAGGAAAACCTGCTGCCTTCTGTCGGAACCAAAGAAGCCATTGTGCCCATGGAGGTTTGGACTTAAGACAGACTTCTTTGCAACTCAAGGACTTCCAGGGTGGAGACCACATTGCATATGGTGACCTCCTAAGGGCCTCACAGCCAAAGTCAGGCCTGATGCACTCCTGGGACCAACCCACTGGACTTTCTGGAGAGGCTGAGTGGGACAAGGGTCACACTGCTGGAAGGACACTCGGCATAAGCAAGCCTTCGTTATTCCTCCTGCCTACCCTCAAGGAAAGTGCTTATGTTCTTGTTGGTAGTGTTGTTCAAACAATGCCAAACACAGATATCAAAACCCATCTCCTTTGCTAACAAGAACCTGCCTGTAACTGGGATCCAAGTTGCCAAAAGTTGCCTGATTCTCTTGCTCTCCTCTGATGCTCATCTGTGCAGCTGGGGCCCACCAGGCATGTCCTCAGCTTGTCCATACAGCCCTGTTTAAGAGACTGTTTATCAGGGAAAAGTGTGGAGAGCCACTTTCAAAGTCCTCAAGATTCCACATGAGCTGTACCCTTCTGGTTCTGATGGGAATGTGTAACCAAGTCAAGAAGTTGCTTTTTGTTCCTTTTCCGTCACCGCTGGGACAAAATAGGCTTTGCCTAGGTATCCGCATTAGGCACTTCTGAGGAGAACAACGCTGCATCTTGACAATAGGAAGGCATTAAATTCCAGTGCTTAAGAAGAAGTATCCCTTGGTTTCCAAAGATACTGCCAAGTGGTTGAACCCATCTGATAAAATCTGTAAACACGTGCAGGGAATGCCAAAACATAGCAACCAGATAAACACAGAAAGAATCTCCAAGGTGTCAGTGGGAATCCAGTTCAGATAAAGGACAAGCTTCTCCATTAATAGAATCCCTGTTCTACTTAGCCACTGGATTGACCAAAAAGCTGGATTTCTCCATAAGCAATCCAGTGGATGCAATTAGTCTTCCAAAAGAATCAGAGGCATCATAATGCCTTCCAGCTAAGAAGCAGGAGTCTAGCCTTATTTACCCTAAGTTTTCCCGCTATGTCTTCTTTAGGGGAAAAGTGATTGGTTATAAAGATGAGTGACTTTGCTTACATATGATGCAATAACATTCCAACACGACTTCCACAGAAGTTGCAATAGTGATTCACATTGTCCCCATGTGAAAATGTGGATATCCACTTTCCCTTTCAGAGGGTATGGTACCCTTTAGAGACCAAATTTCAGCGTTCCTTTCGCATCCCAGGAGTATCTATGGATTCCTGAAAGCCTAGGGTCCTTTGGGGTTCTCTTCAAAACAACTCCTGACCCATGTTCTGATAAACAAATATGCTGGTTTGAAAGATGACACAGGACCACAAAGCCAGTGTTAGGGGTTAGTAACGGAGTGACACTCACATCAAGGGAGGATGGGATCATTCCACAAATGAGGTGGGATTTGTAATCAACATTGAAAATGAATATGTTTTTATGAATAAATAAATTATTTCTTATATGGCCAAGGATGGTGACTATACAGATAAAGATAAGATTACATTTAAAATATTCATTGTGCATGGAATAATTAAAGATTTATGGTATTTTAATTAAAAAAAATCTTTAAAATGTTAAAGTAGCTAACCAGCTGCTCTTGGTTTTGTATACAGTGTTCTCATAAGAACATAAAGAACCAGTAAGGGCCCCAAATAAATCATCTACTTTGACCCTTTCCTATTGTATAGATGAGGGAACTGAGACTTGTATTGGAGGAAGGGATGATGTAAGCCGCCCAACAGATGTGCAATAGGCTTCTGTAGCCAGTGTCAGCCTCTCGTCGCTTCATGATCACCCCGAACTGAGGACATGCAACCTGCTGTTCTGAATCCTGTGAACTGTGTTTATTTGTCTCTGCCTGCTAGACTGGGAGCCACACATAGCAGGAACTTCGTGGGTTCTTTAGTCTTCAGAGCCTGAAATCGTGCCCAATGCAAAGGGGGTGCCAACAAATATTTGGGAGCCAATATGATATAGAAGAGGGAGCCAATGAAAACCACACTGAATCTTCCTGCTGGTAAACTTCTGTGGCAAGTTTTCCCACTGCATCCTCTCGAAGATGAGATGCTTACCTGCAAAGAGATTTACGTGGAGGGGCCTTGTGGGAAATTCAAGTGTAATGAATACCTTCCTGTGGTAACTGTTTACAGAGTCCGACCGTCTACCAAGATGCACAGGACACGGGCAGGAGCTCGACCACAAGCTCATTGCCTGCCATTCTTGGACACCACTACTGCCTTCTAGAACTACAGCGCCATATCTGATGAAGACTTTAAAATGTTAACGGTCTGTGTCTTGAGAAGCTGTTTCAGATCTGCTCAGTGTTCGAGATTAACCACAATCTCTTGAAATGCCCATCAGTGCGCACCTAATGGCCTGCCAATCTCTGTCATAACTTTTGTTTTTAAGAAGCCAAAAAGCCTATTGTTAAAAGAAGTGAAGAGTAGGTGCTTGAGGGAGCTGCTGTGGACATGCGCCAAGCTTAGTGCTGTGGTAGCAAGTGGGGTACAGCAATTCCCTTCAAATCAAGTGTCTTTGCAGTGGGGCGGTCTTAATCCTGAGCCACAGCGCAGCACAGAGCGGTGGAAGGGGCTGATGGCGAAATAAAAATCTTTGTTTTTAAAGTGCTTTTCAAAGAGGATTTTGTCAGTCGGCGATCACGTTGTGGAGCGTTCATTTGTGGTGTAAGAACTTGGGTAAGAACATGATAGAGTTGTACTAGATCCCGAATGAACACAGTTTGAAGACATTTCCCAGTATGCGCTGGGGGAGTCGCTTTTCTGTACAGCTGGTAAAGTGCCTGTTGTATGAACACGAGGGCCTGAGCAGGGACTTCTGGCAGCTGTGCGAGAAATGGCCTACATCTGTAACTGGAGCTCGCACCGTGCAGAGGAGACAAGTGGGTGGGACCCAAGGCTGTTGGCTGGCCAGTCAGCTCATTCCACAAACTCCCTGTTCAGTAAGAGAACCTGTTTCAAAATGTAAGGCAGAGAGCAAAAGGGAAGGAAGGCACTTCAATGTTAGCTTCTGTACTTCCAGACACGCACACACACACACATTTTCATGAGCGCATACACAATATCTACATTGATTTTAAATTATTTTACGTCAGTATACAGAGTCATAGAAGTTATTCTGACATTTTTATATGTAGGTGTCATTATCCTTATTTCTCACTTGTTCCCCCCGCCCTTCCCCATCCCCCATCCCCCATCATTCCCCAGCGCCCGCTATTACTTCCTTTAAGAATCTGCAGTTCTTCCTACACGCAATCCTTATCTCTAACCAGAGCTTTTCTTTTTAAAAAAGATTTATGCTTTATTTATTTATATGTATGTGTCTGGGAACGTGTGCCATTCGTGTGCATGCCTGTAGAGACCAGAAGAGGGCGCTGGATCCTCAGGAGCTAGAGTTACAGGTGTTTTTGTGAGCAGCCTCCCCCTATATGAAAACCATTTTAGATGAGAAGAAAGTTCCCTGGAAACGGAAATCAGGCCTGCTGCTAATCTCCTTAGACAACATAAGTCCAGAATCAGGGGCCCGGTCTAGGCAGTGAGAACTTCCAGGCCTGTCAAAGGCCACCTTGTCACCATGTGACCCCTTCTTGGTGTAAGCAAGGGACTGGGTCAGGAGAGGAGGGGAGAGAAAGAAGGAGAGAGAGAGAGAGAGAGAGAGAGAGAGAGAGAGAGAGAGAGGGAGAGAAAGAGAGCTGCTGCTTCCTGCTAGGCACAAGTCCTTCACAAGAGCCCATCACCCTTATGACTTCTAACTAAGGACCCCCAAAAACCCTTCTCCAGCTGTCACACTAAAGGTTAGGGGTTCAGCAGAAGAATTTGGGGGAAAGGGTGCAAATGTAGAACGAACGTCTGAACTCAATCCTGTTTAACTGACTCGTTTAGTCTCCAACAATCACGATTTTTATCCTGGGCTGTTGCTCTTGTCCCTCCTCGCGCCAGGTTTGGCAATATTAGTGTTGCAGTTGCTGTCACCTGTGACAGAGGTGGAAGGGACCCTTCATGTCCCCTCAGCTCCCTCGACCCTCTCTTTCGTGAAATGAGGGAGAAAAAAGGATTTTGCGTGAGCCCATGAATGTATCTTCGTTTCCTTAGAAGTCTGTCTGAGATCAGTGACTCTTGGCAGTTGGTAATCTGAAGTGAGCTGACCCAGCCCTCAGCCTGGAAACTTGAATCTGGAAGGGGTCTGGGAAAGATGCTCAGGGGGGTCTGACACAGAATAAAAATCCGCCCCCCCATGTGTGTGTGTGCGCATGCGTGTGAATGCGTATATGCAGGAGTACTCACCAACCCATGTGTGCACACGTAAGATGTCTTATTCTATTGCCCTCCACTGGTTTTTGTTCCTTTATTTCTTTGTTTGTAGGGATCCAGGGTCTCTCTGGAGCTGGGGTTGCCATTTTGGCTAGAATGGATGGTCAGTGGGCTCCAAAGAGCCACCTGTCTCTGCCTGTGCATCGGCCCCTGGCTTTTCCGTGAGTTCTGAGCACCTGAATTCAGGTCAGGCCATTGTTCTTCAACAGCAGGCACCCTACCCCTGAGCCATCTCTCAGCCCTGATTTGAGAGAGAAGGGGTGTAAAGAAGAGCAAGTGCTGTAATGTGATTCCTCACGATAACTTTATCTACACATGAAATAGTCCTGCTTCTCACAGGATTGGAAGGCTGCAGTGTAGCAAGGCAAAGAGGGTCTGCTCCTGGGATTCCGGCTCTTTGCAGGTGGAGGCAGAAGACCCTCAACTAAACAGTGAGGCCCAGGTCAGCCTGCGCTACAGAGGACCAGCCTCAAACACAAAACAAAAAGCCTAAAAGTATCTAACCTTTCATGGCTTAATTTAGATTTATTTTATCTTTTTTTTTTACCATTTATGTTTATTAATTTTAAAAGCAATCAAACATTGTGTAAAGGGAAATTGTTGCAATGGTCATCTTAAATTTCAGGTTTTAAAGTCAGGTTGGATGCAGTTCAGGCAAGCCCTGGATGTGATTACCCACTGTTTCTAGGCAACCATCATTTTCCACTCCTTCCTAGATAAATGCCCTTTGCTGTGTGTTGTCCTAGGCCGCTGGATTCTGGGAACCTGGACATCATGTCCTTCTCCTGACTATTCTACTTAAATTAGTCACAGGAAATAGAATGAGCCCAACATGCTAACCCACCAGTGTTTTAAATGCAAAGTTGATGTTCTGCAGCTGGAACGCATACTGTGCCAAGTGCAAACGCCAAGTGGCCTTGTCAGTGGCCCTGTCAGGCCTCTGGCTGAAGGCGTCTCAAGTCCAGACTGACCTCCTAGTTTTGATTTGGCTTTGACTAGAATGATGCCACACACAGTGCCTGGCATTCTTATATGACACCCCATAACTAATAAATGTTGTCTGTCTCTAGGTAAAGGCTTTCTGGTCCTTCTTCAGAAGACCCAGACAGGCCACCTTGGCCAGCAGACTCAGGGAACTTACCATTTTCTCCACCAGCAGAGTTGTCAGCCTCTCTGTCCCAGGATCCAGAATTTGGCAATGTGTTTGTCTTAGGAATGTAGTCATGTCCTTTTGAGAACAAGACTCACATGGTTTGGGTTCTGGAAAGATGTGCTGGGCTGAAGCAAGCTTCTCCAGCTGAGCACTTATAAGCAGTGTGGCTGAGTCTGTGCAGCTGCACTGCTGCAGAGTTGGGGCTGTCTTCTGAGAACTGAAATCAAGGAGTCTGTGTCCCTGGCCGTGCCTTCCATGGGGCCCTGGTTCCACGTGGCTTTCTTTATGTACATAGTACCTTGGCTAGTTTTTTATTTTATTTTTAGGATAGAAGTATGCATTTATTATATAATTAAAACTGTGATATCATCAGTATCTGTTTGGAACTTATTTCTCATTCTTTGTGGGAATTTCCAGAGCCAAGGTCAATGGGGTTGAGATAAAGATGGTACCACGTGTCCCTGATACCCTGTACACACCGGCAGAGCCACCAAGGAAGGCTAGATTTGGAATCACAGCATTCTCTGGACCACAAGCATCTTCCATGGGAGCCACAAAGACACAGGGACTGACTCTAACCCTAATCCTTGAGTTTATTCCGAAAGATGACTGTGGCATTCAGTGATGACACATTGAAGAACATCCCATCAAGATACTGGGGAAAACTCAGAATACTAGGGAAAACTCAGAGGTCAGACCAGGGTGCCCACAGCCCCATGCTTAGCTTAGCAAGTAGAGTGTAGAGCATTTCCACTCTCAAAATAGCAGTGACCAGGATAAGAGTCAACTGAACGCTCATGGAGAGAACAGCCAAGACTGGAGAGCGAGCCGTGCCATTCTCTGAGGACACCAGGGAAGACATAATCACCACCTATGATAATAACAGCTAATGTGAGGAGCTTTCTGGGTTACAGCCTCCTCTGAGCACTCCCCCCTGTCCTGATTTCCTCGACTGGCCTTACCACCTTTTCAACTCCCTTAGTTAGACTTGGAGGTGCAAGAATGTCCCCCCACTCCAAGCTCCCGTTGATAAATAATTTCTGTTAAATCAACCTGAAGAGATGGAACCTTTGAAAAGATGGTTCAGCCATTAGGGCTCTGCCACTGTGAATGGATTGACGCCATTACCAAAGAGCAGGCCAGTAATAACAGGAGCGAGCTCATGAAGACAGAATACTGATGTAGGTGACTCTTATGTATTTCTGTTGCTTTCATTGGTTAATTAATAAAGAAACTGCTTGGCCTGATAGGTCAGAACATAGGTAGGCGGGGAAGGCAGAACAGAATTGTGGGAGAAAGAAAGCAGAGGCAGGCAGACACTATAGCTCTCCTCTCCAAGATGGATGCAGGATAAGATCCTTCCCAGTAAGCCACCACCTCGTGGTGCTACACAGATTGTTAAAAATGGGTTAATCGAGATGTGAGAGTTAGCCAATAAGAGGCTGAAACTAATGGGCCAGGTAGTGTTTAAAGGAATACAGTTTGTGTGTTGCTATTTCTGGGTGTAAAGCTAGCCATGCGGGAGCCAGGCAGGAACATAGCCCGCTGCTCCTTCTACAGAACATGTTTTGTTTTTTTTTTTGTTTTTGTTTTTTGTTTTTTGTTTTTGACACACGAAGCTGTTTAATTAGGTTGTTAGCAATTTAGAAAACCAGTTCGTGAGGATACATCCCGTTCATCAGAGAGAACTGAGAGCGCAGGTAGCCCTGCAGCTGAGGAACAGCTTTCATCTTTGGCAGAATCTGCGAGTCCACCGTTCTCTGATCAGCCTTGCGCTGCTCTGTAATCTCATATTTCTCCTTCTTTGTGTCAAAGATCTCGCCCTCCTGGTGCCTGGGCTTTTGCAGCCGCTTTTTCTTGAAGTAAGCCTCAGTCAGGTGTTTGGGGATTTTAACTGTGCTGATATCAACTTTCGTAGAGGTGGCGATGATAAACTTCTGATGTGTTCTTCTCAGAGGAACTCTGTTGAGGGCAAGAGGTCCTGTCGCAAGCAGTAAACCACTGCCCAGCTGCTTCAGGAAAACCACTCTCCTGCCCCTGTGGCGCCCGGTGAGGATGATGAGGACAGTCCCAGGAGTGATGCTAGCACGCAGGCGTCTCACGTGCTGACTGAAGGGCTTTTTGCCATGGCTCAGCAGCTTCC